GTTGGAGAGGATTCGCTTCGGCTAATGGAACGAAATCAGCGAGTTCCTGTCCGAATGGATTGAAGCACGTTTTCTTTGCGCGCTCTACATTTGAAAAGGTGAGTTTCTCTTATGGCCGCGTGGTGTTACGCAGTGTTTCCAAAGCGGCTTTACCAACAGAAATTCGCAAAAATCTCCGAATCTCGCAAACACAGCCATTTTGTTTATAACTAAACTGTACGCGGCCCCTTGATCATTACCGATCATAGATGGAGCTCGAAAAGTTTATACTTTAAATCGCCATCGTTCAAATCACTTATCCTTTTTATTTTTTAAATAATAATAATAATATCAACAGTAAATTGAATTACTTATTAACAAATTCTGGCTTTTCAAATTTGTAAATAATTTATATATGAGGAATAATATCTGTCTATTTGTAATTGTTTTAAATGGGAGAAAGTGGGTTTGGTGGGAATTATAAATAACAAATGAAGAAAGTAAATATAGAAAATTCTCTTTACTAGGCAACCTCTTCAACATCAATAAGCATTCAGAGTGGCTCAAATAAATATACAATTAATACATCTAATCCGTTCTTTCTTTCTTTCTTTCTTTCTCATTCTCTCTATTTTACTCTGCCGCTCATGTTCGTCAATCGATAAAGTCTCGATCTCTATAATTTCATCCAGAATCGAATAAATATGGTATCTAACAATACAAACTTAATATAAATCATCAATCATATTGAAAGATAAGTATAATAATAATATGTTCAACTTATCTTCTCTTCTCGTCTTCATCATTATTAGCCTATTTTGATTAGTTAATTAAAAACAAAAAATAATATACGATTGGAACAAAATCGAAAACATCTATATATATATGATCATCATATGTATATAGATGTAAGTAAAAAAAAAAATAATAATAGAAGAAAAAATAATGGTATTGTTAAACTCAAAAGAAAAGATTGTATCATAGGGCCTTTCTGTGATACTCTGGAGGAGCATTACCGTAATCTTGCAAATTGAATAACGTCGCACTGTTCTTGAACATGTACTTGAGGAAATCCTGGATATTCTGCAGCAGCAACTGTATACTTCGTTCATCTAACGGAGTGTAAGCTAGCATAGAGCCAAGCTTGACAAAGAGTCGCAGCAGGTGGATGGCACCGTAGATTCGTGACATCGGCATCTTACCGTGATTCTGTAAGATCTCCGCGTACTGCGGCCGCTCGAATTTGTAGAGCAGCTGCGTGCCCAGCATCACGTTGAAGTACTCCTTGATGCCGTTCGTGATCTCAATTGTGGCCGACTCCTTGCTGGAATTGTTCGATTTGATCGACTTTCTGTACGCTATATAATTATCCAGGATCTGGTCGACGGTGATCTTCGCCGGTAGATTGACCAACTTCCTTTGCCTCGTGATTGCGTCCCAGTCGTCCACCAGCCAGGGTTTCAGCTCATCGGGAATCTTCACTTTAACCTCAACTTTGCTCAAGAACTGCTCCTCCGACTCCACAGATGGATCCAGTCTACCTCTCTTCTTCTTGGGCACATCTGAACTTGAATCCTGACTGCTCGACGGGGTGCTTGGCTTGCTCTTCACCGGGATCTTCGCGGCTGTGTCTATGGTTGGTGTGCTCGCCCGTGAATCAGTATCTTTGGTGGTCTCGCTCTTGCGCGCTTTTGTCTTCTTGGCTTTTGCTGGCTGATTGGAATGAGCCTTCTGGACTTCCTTCTGCTTGGCAACATTCGCCTCATTATATTTCAAGACTCTGCTCTCCGGCACCCATTCATCCCAACTAAAAAAACACACACACACAAAAACAGTTAATTTACAATGACTGACACACCAACGAAAAAAAAAACTCACTTCTTATTCCAACCAGCATAATGAATGAAGTATTTAACCTGCTTATCCTTAGTAATTGTAGATTTCAAACACTTGGCTTCATATATCAGTGGTCCGTGAAAACACAGAACTTTCTCACCTGCAAAAACAATGTGTGAACAAGAGCAGTAGTAATATTATTGCAATGATTAAGAGAAATGTGCTTTGCACTTACCGTCAGCGAACTTCAGCTTTGGGGGCATTTCGCTTGGCTTCTTGGATTGCAGCTTGCAGTCGATACAAACCAAACATAAACAATGGAACTGCTTATACCTTTGATCAACAGCTGCAAATCACCAGGCCAGGCCGGGTCGCACGCTCTGGGGATTTGTTTACGTATTTAATTAACGTTGGTAGAGACAGGGGGTTGGTTGATGTTATTTGTGGGGACCTCCTGTACGACCAAATTCCACCAAATGTCCGACTTTATATCTCCAATTACTAAAACGAACGACGTTCCACCGATTCCACGCAATTGTTGCTTCCTATTGTTTCAGTAAATCCTTCGCAAATAACAACCAACTCTCAAAAAAATTTGTTTCACTTTCAACAGCCAAGCCAAACTGAAATCACTTCGAGTATGCAACTGCTCGAACAACAACCCTCAGGTTGCCTATTAAAGAGATACATCAATCTCTACATAAAAATTTTAAAAGAAAATTACAATAACAGATAGAAATTATTAATTATCGTAGTTAGCGAAGGCGTAAAATGCCTAATTAAAAAATATTTCTGACGAATTTCTTTAAGGAATTTGGTTTGGTTATTGAAAAGAAATATAACATTATTTATTTATGAATATCCATAATTATATGCAATTTCTCGTTAACAATATGATTTAAAACAAATGGACAAAATTCGTAAGTTTTTGGTAATTTTTCGTTTTCTTGTGTTGGTGAGTTGCCGCTGTGGGTGAGCGAAATTTAAAGTGAGTCACCCAATGAATGAGCCGCTTTTGTTTTTTATGTGCGTGGGGGTTGTAAAGCAGCAAATGGAAATTGTTTTTTGTGCAGCTTCGAGTACGCATTAAGATTCCGTATATATAATGGCAGATCCTCGCATCAGAACATTGAAAATCAAGACCGGAGTTGTGAAGAGGTTAGCCAAAGAGAAGTTATCATACGAGAAGGAAGCGGAGCAGCAACGCGCTCGCATCGTCAGGTTGAAAGGGGAAGGTCAGTGACGAAATTGATATCCGTTTCTTCTTCTAAAATGTTCATTTGTTTTATCAATGCAACAGGGAAAGACGAGTATGACATCAGGAAGCAGGAGGAGGTGTTGCAGGAGTCTCTGATGATGGTCCCAGATTGCCAACGTCGCCTGATCAAAGCCTACGACGAGTTGAAGAGTATCTTGGATTCCGAGCAGGATCTGAAGGATATTGCCGAGTTCACTGCAGCCCTGGGAGTATTGGATGAGGCAAAGTTGCAGCTTCCCAAACCCGGTGAAACCCTGCACATGTGTTAAATTCGAACGTTGCTTCCTAGTTATTCCATTAATTTGCAACGTAATTTTTTAATACCTTCTATAAAAAAAAATCTAAACAAACAAAAAAAAAACAACAATTATTAATAAGGACACACAATGGACTGTCTCAATTCAAGCATGGAGTTCAAAACTGAAAATGACCTGTACATAGAGACGTGGCTCGCGAAAATGGGTAAAATCAATGTTAATGTAGAGACTCGGGTCGATGTAAAGAGTGCAGGTGCGAGAAGGCAGAAGTCGAAGCCCGAGTTGAAAATCCACTGCGCCAAGAGGGAGCTGTGCAAGGCCTTAGATATAATCGAGGAGCTGAAGGTGGCGCAGAGTAATCTGAAGGAGAACTTGACGACGATGAGTTCGGGCGAGTGGAATTTGAAGGCGGCCGCGATCGGTGTGCTGAAGGAGAAGCTGAACTTGGCGATGTCGCATTTCGGTCCTGAGGCTCTGGTCGGTTTGAAGAGGAGCTTGGAGAAGCGCTCCAGGAAGCGTTTGAATCAGCGGCTGAGGCGGGCGGAGAACAAGCAGATTCGCGAGGACGAGTGCCAGAAGCAGCACGAGAAGATCGACCGGTGGTTGGAGAACATGAAGGATTCGGTGGAGAGGGCCAAGGCGGAGGAGAGCATGAAAAAGGACGCCGATTGCGTGCTGGCTGAGGTGACCAAGAAGAAGGCAGACGCGAGGAAGCAGTTAGCACTGCTCGCGGCGCTCAGCAAGTTGCGGAGCGTGCGAGAGGTCGCCGCGAAGCAGAGGGGCGAAAGGATCGACGAAGACGACGCGGATGTGTTCAGGGATACCAACGATAAACTGGTGAACGCATGGAGCAACTGCCTGAGGACGTACGTGAAGGAGGAGCAGGGATTGAGGATCATGCTGGAGCAGAACGAGGAGGGTACCAAGAAGCACAGCAGCATCAACAAGGAGAAGAAGGTTGCAAGCGATTGGGAGCGGGTGCTCTTTGGGCAGCAGTACGTGCCAGACAGTGACATCTACTGGGGTCTGACCCTGGCCGAGAGGGACTTTGAGACGTTCGTCGCGATCCGGAAGAGCTGGGATACGTTTTTGCACAGGTCGGAAGGATCCAAGATTCCCGTTGGATGGGTTCTGCCGAACGCCAGTGGCGCTACAAGCGACTGGGGCAAGTATTTACAAAAATAATGACAAAAACAAGACTCTGTTGTGTGTTGAGTTTTCCTAAATTTTATTCTCGCTATTTTACTTAATTATATAATAAATGCATTTAAATTATCAAATTGTATAATCGGATGCAACATTTTCTTCAAATTTGACCTTTACCGTATAGTATTTAATCTAGTAGCTATGACAGTTTACGAAAGTTAAGCGACGTGTGGGGCAGACGGTACTTGGATGGATGACAAATCTAATTTCAATGCGTTTTTCACTTCACGTATAATTGCTTTGAATGTGTTCTTGTCTTCACCTATTTCTCGTTGCAATTCTAGATGTTACGTCTACATCTAAACAAACGATTCAAAACAAATTAATAAATATATCAATGATAAGTTCGATTGGCATTTTGCATTTATACAATGTCAACGTCCTCGTTTCTAAGCCTGTTCGGAACGGAATCGTCTTCGACGCAGGGCGGCTGCGATGAAGCTGTATCTTCGTCTTCTTCTGCTGTCGACCCCAAGCAGCTGTGGCTCTCCGAAGAGGAGCTGCAGAACTTCTTCAAGGAGATCGAGCGACGCAGTCAGGTCAGCCAAGAGCCGGTCTCCGTCGACGAAATATACGAGTACGAGAACGGTATCAAGTGCACGCAGGAGACGCTCCTGAAACCGGTGAACCTGGACTATCTGATCGAGGCGGGTCCCATCAACGGAGATGCACCGCCTCCGCAAATCTCCAAAATTCCCTGCGTCCTCGAACCCGTCCTCAGTCGACTTTCGAAGAAGAGTGGAAAATAAATAATACGTTGTTTTTTTTACAAGATGTGCCTAGAAATGTTCTTCCTGTAGCATGACAAGCTGCAAAGCGCAACACCCGTCTTCGAGCACGAGTATTTCTTGGGGTTACCGCAGTTCATGCCGCAGTACACCATCTTCGCAGGAGCGGGCGATCTTTTCGCGACGATCGGCAGATCCATGGCCGACGGAAAGGCCATTATCGTCGACTCCACGTTCTGCTTGTAGAGTATCGCCGGCGCCAGGGATTTTGCGTGTCTGTTTCGAAGGGATTTCAACGCTTTCGACTCCTGCTTCTTCAAGATCCTCTCCATTGTCTTCTTTTTGTCCTTCTCCCTTTTCTCATCCGCCAACTGCTTTCTCTTCAACGACTTTATGGCAGCTTTTTGTATTGCCTCTGGTGTCATAACTTTTTCCTGCAAATACACAAATTGCAATCAGGGAATTAATTCAAATATTCAATACTAAATACCTTATATCCAGTTGGCAGAGAAATCAGCTGAGGATTTGTGGCCTGATTCCCCCCATCAGCACCTCTATCATACATGGCCCTCTGTCGAGCCGTCATCAAAGATGGATCCTTTGGCTTGATCTTCTTCAACTCATCATCCACATCCTCCAGCTTGCCCGATTCAATAGCTGTCAGCCACCTTTCTTCATCACTGGAAGCGCTGTCCCTCTTCCTCCGCTTCTTATTTGCATTTCCCACAATAGCTCCCTTCGTTGGAGTCTTGCTTTTCCCTCCGATTGAATCCACATCAACAATCAAATCTCCGTACTCATCCTCTGTGGTCCTGGGTCTTTTGTTTTTATTGCTCTTCTTTATGGTGGACATTTTACTAACATCCAAATACTTTTGCTCTAACATAATTTTATCAATTTAAAGAAATAATACACGTTTAACGAAACTCACCCATTTTGCCTAAATATCAGAAAAGTAAATAAAAACATTCATTTACTAATACATAACCTAAAATTCTTTTAGTTCTATTTGATCACTTTATGATGGTGCTCCTTCTTCATATTGGCACAACTGAAAAATAAGTTTGTTTCAAAGATGTTGAAAGTTTGCTCGCGTCTTTTTCTTAATCATTAATTTCCCCGATTAAAATCGCCGGAGAACGATGAAATGTTGAAGATGGTCCAGTTTTCATTCATTAAGTGGTGAGATATAAATTAATTCACTACTTTTCCATTCAATATGTTTTAACCTTATTTTATTCTTCTGGTAATAACAAACTAAGTCACCGGAAACAAACAGAAAAAACAACTTTTGTTTTGTTTATCCATAGTTACGAAAGTTTTAATTATATTTATAATCAAGTAATGATTTTGTATATTCATAAAATTAGGTTTCGTACGTAAAAATCATAAAAATATTACAACAGAAACATCTTATTTCCTTTTGCGTGGTTGTATAATGTTAATTTCTCTGAATTATTATTTGCTCGAAAAAAGTTTTAAATAGTCGACAAACTGGAATTCCCCAAGATCTTATTATCTGGTGGAATTATTGATTTTCGCAATGGCAAGCCTACTGTAAATAAGAATGACAATTGGAAACAAAACATAACCAACAATTGTCGATACGTATATGAAAATAGGAAATAATTTTGTAAGTGATGGATTGTGATAATGAGATGTTAGAGAAGATTCTGAAGAAGGTGAACGGCGTGGTCAAAGAGGACAACGAAATGTAAGCGAAACATGAATGTAAAAGATGTGTTAATGTTAATCTTGTGAATTTCAGAAGGGAGTTTACGTTGATTCCAAGCGTTGGAAAGGATCGAAACGTATCGCCAATAAATTACGTGTGGGAGGAGCACGCTTTGGGCTTGGAGACTTGGTGTGCAGGATTGCTGTTTGGTTACGCACAGAAGCAGATCTTCAAGTGGAGATGTCGAAAGGATCATGACACGCTCAACGATTACCTGGTCATTGCCCTACTGATAAATCCCGAAGTTCGAACATTTTGGAACATAAAACGCGAGCTGCTGGATGGAAATCTACTGGACTGCAGCACTGAGTTGCGATTCAGTAGGCTGGTGCTCAGTTGGAAGCCGAAATCGTACGAGGCGTACAGTTATCGTATCGCTATTTTCAAAAAGATTGGTCACGCGAAGATGGACTTTCGGGAGGAATCTGATTTGTTGGATTCGGTGACGAGGAACACGCCGAACAATTACCACGCGTGGAATCATCGCATCTGGTGTTTCGAGAATTACATGTTGGTGTACGAGACGGACGCTCTGAGCAGGGAGCTGCGGTTCAGCGAGGATTGGATCAAGACGCACGTGTCGGAGCACACGGGTTTTCACTACAGGCAGCACGTGATCGATAGCTTGAAGGGGCACAAGCTGAAGGAGATCGACGAGTACAGTAAGTTAGTTTTAAATTGCGACAGCGGTTGTACGGCGCAGCATCAGATCCTGTATCTGCTGATATACGAGCTTCACAAGGTGCTGCCTGATCTGCACCATCATTTCCCGGGTCACGAATCTATTTGGTACCATAGGAAGTACGTGGTGCACACCATGCACGCCCACCTGTGCCAGATCCACAGCGTCGATCGTGACATTCCCCAATTCGAGTTCAATGGGGCGGCGAAACTTTTGGATGGCGTGGCGAGGAGCTGCAGGAACGGCGTGCGGTGTCTCAAGGAGGAACAGATGCAGTCCACAAACTTGTACAAGCGGCTGGTGCTTAACGAAAGGGAGTTCCTGGATGGTGACTTTAAGGACGAGGATGTTCGATTGTCTCGAAATTACAGGATGTGGTTGAGGTGTATCGTCGGTATAATCGTTTGATATACGCAACCAACAGAACGAGTTTCTAATCGAAACGAAATTTAATTTATATTGCGCTGTGTTTTCACCAATGACAAGCAAAACTTATATTACAACATATTTGTTTGTTTGATTTATCCCAAAGTTAAGATCCTCGATAATCCGCAACAATTAAATCAGGATCAGGAGCACAAAAGAAATTCAGATTTTTAAGGGTGATGTTTTCTTTTTATTAAAACACAGATTGCCAAATGGATTTGAACAATTTTTTTGGTTTTTTTTTTTGATTTCTTGTTTTTTAAATTTATTTATGTATATGGATCTACATAAATACTCATGAAAAATAAGCAAAAAAAATAATAATATAATATATATATATATTTATACATACAACATAATAGTAATAATAAAACAAAAATTATAATAATAACCAAATAAGATATCACAGGATCGTTTTTTTTTCATCTCCTAAAAACTAATATTAATAATAAGTTACATACAACTGCGCACAATTATAATAATATTCATCATCATCATCAACAAATACTAATACAATAATAATAGACCAACAAACAAACAGGGAAAAAGAAAACAATAACAGAAACAATAATCTGCACAATTGGACAGTAGGTTGTTGCCTTGCATAGTTTGATTTTAGTTCGATTACAGAAGAGAGAGGAAAAGAAAATATACAAAGAAATACAAAGAAACAAACAGACAAACAATAAATAACCCAAACAGAAACGTAAAATCTTAAATAAAATCGAATCTTATATTTATGTACATATATGCAACAATCTCGCTTCCTTTTTTAAAATTTAGTTTTAGATATTATTAATATTATTATTATTTTGATCGCGGCAAGATTTGCGTCTTCTCATCGTCATGACGACGAAAACAAAAAAAAGAACGAAAAAAAAAAGAGAAGTACTTCCATTAAGTGCTCTAGATTGTTCTAGAAAACGGTTACGAAAAACGGGTATAGAAGAAAGTTCCGATAACAATTCTCATGAAAAATCGGTCAATATATATGTGTGTGTGTGTAGTTTAGATTAATTACATAAGGATAGATTGAGAGAAAGAGAGACTAATTAGTTTTCTTCTCTCTTTCTCTGTCTCTTTTCTTTAAATTGGGTAATATGACTACGGTACAATATTTATTTCAATTTGAAACCACGTATTACAATGTCTAGTACATGCACTAAACATCTTTTTTTTTTTTTTGTAAAATTCGTCTCCTTTCAAATCTTATTTCATCTAAATCCCTTCATTTTTTCGCGTTGCTTTAATATACGACGAAGGGCGGCGGATGTTCGCACTCAAACACACAATAATTAAAAGGCTGCAAAGAGAATCTCACTAATTTCGAAAAACAATTTAAAATCGTTAACGATCAACAGAAATAAAGTTTTTCAAAAAGCTAACAAAAAGATAAGAAAAAAATATCATGTGTAATTAAATATTTCCCATACCGATGGAAATATTATCAATAATATTAGTAAGTTGTTCATCAAAGGAAAGTGCTCGTAAATGAAATTCTTAATGTTTTTTGTTTTTGTTGTTGTTGCAGGTGACTCGGATCAGGAAATCCTTGGTGAGTTGTAGTGCGCTCACTGTTTTCTTTTTTTTTTGTATAATCATTCAAAACAAAAGAAACGTTAAGACGGAGAGAAAATAATCTATTAAGTTTAATGACTAGAAAAGCCATACCGGTGGCGAAAATAAATGAAATATTTAAAAACAAAACAAAGCGATTTAGTAGTTTTTGTTGCTTGTGAATTTCCGTTTTTGGAAACTGCTCTTACATTCTTTAAGTTATCGTTTATTTTTGTTTTGTTTTTCTCCTCCTTCCTTTGTTTTTAGTAATGTTTAGTTAGTTAATTCAGTAGGCCTAGATGAAGCTTTAGTCCGCACGTCGGTTGCGTCAGCCGCTTTGATTTTTTTGTCTTCCATTATTTAATTACTCTTAAATACAACAATAATATATATATATACGTTCTCATATTTACTTCGCTTATAATTATCACATAAGGGTGTAGAGAGGGTCGACGGAAGGGGGTGGGGGTTGGGTTTTCTTTCTTTTTTGCTTTTTTAGTTGGCGATTAATTACTCTAATTGTGTTCCAGTCTTACCAGAGGGAGATAGAAATGGTAGTACGCCCATCGGATCTTTCGAAACGCGACAAGATATACACGACTTGCGGTGAGTCTCTCTCTCTCTCTTTCTTTCTCCTCTCAGTCCGCGGCAGATCTACTCCTAATCCAAATACGGTGCAACAGCATCCACACTATCACTCCAAATAAAGAAAAAAAAACGAAAACATCAAGCGTCTCTTGCAATTCGGTGCATCCACTCGTCCTTCCTTCCTTCATCGACCAACCACATCCTCCGTCTCAATCTCCTCGTCTCGTTAATCGCACTATCGCCTAAAGGAAATGAGCTCTAATACTAGTACGACCAAGTACTTGTAAGTCGGTTGGTTGGTGTGTGTGAGTGTGTGTATTTGCGCTTCTCCCTCCTACTCGCATTCTCCATTCATTTGTTTTGTTTTGGCAACGCGTTCTTCATTCTTCGTCATGCGGCTCTCCTCCTACGGGGCGGAGCTTGTTAACTGTTTTCGGGGCTTTCCACCGGTTTGGCGGCGCTCTTCTGGGCCGTCGTCCCCGAGGAATTTGGCACCAGCAGAGTGGACAACGCCTCCAGAGACTGTCGAACCTGGATACAGAAGGAGACGTGAGTAATTTGCGACAGTTTCGTTTCGCTTAACTAACCTTGGCTATTTGATCTAAGTTTGTGTCTAGAAAACTGTGCACCGCCCCCGCGGATTTGGAATGTAGATGCGTCTGCCACTGCAGCAGCTCACCGTACACGTCTTCGCTTTCGGTGATCACGAAGTTTTCCTGCAAGCAGCGAATTGTATGAGCAAAACTCTTTCTTTTTAGTTACGGGTTGTGTGTATATACTTGTAAAGCTTGCGAGTATTTGGTTTGGACTCTGCCTATCCTGTAGAGGAGGAGCGCCGCTGAGAGAAAGAGCATGACCAGGACGAGCGTCGTCACGACCAGCAGCACGTTGGGAACTGTCGTCACCCTGAAGTGTTTATCCTTGCTGGGACTGCTGTGATCGCCGCCGCCGTGTGCATCCGATGACTTGCCTTTAAAAAAAAAATGAAGGTAATATTTAACTGATTCGTTGATTATTGTTGTGATTTGTAATACCGTCCAATCTGGTGTAGCTCGAGGAGAAGCTGTCCGGCGACTTGACGCACGTCCTGAACTTGGGCATCCCGATGTCCGATTCCCTGCCCGACTCTGGTGGCGTCTCGCTGCTGTCGCTCTCATCCGACGGATCCTGCGGTAAGAGATGTAATTATTTTGTTGTTCGACGATTCTAAGCGATTCTTCGTGTTTTTTTAGACTGACCACTATCGGCTCGGGCGGTTCCAGCGCCACGTCTTGCAGCTTCTTCGCCGTGTCCCAGATCTCGTTCATGAACTTGTACGTGTTATCCCTGGACATCAGGCTGCCGAAGACGTGCTTATCCTCGGTGGTGGTGATCCCGACGGCGTTCGGGATGATCCGAGCCGTCTTCTCCTTGCTTATCTTCCGTACCGATTGCATTGGTATGAGGAGCTGCGAAAAAAATCTTAATCTTAATCTCCGAACACCTGCGTCTGTCCGCGCTTATCTTATCTCCTCTAACAGCAACGAACATGCACCTGTTCGTTCTGGCTACTCACTTTGGTCACATATCCAAACACGTTCGAATAGAAGGCAAAGTAGTTTTGGGTGATGTACAGGTGACCTTGCAGCAGGATGTCACCGATGAGGGCGCACGAGTAATCTGCAAACGACTGCCAATGTACACACAATTTTCTAAGCGTTAAGTTTTTGCAGGAAATGCACTCACAGTTCAGCACCGTGTCCTCGGAGGCGCTCGGGAAATGTCTGATGAACTTCTTTTGTCTACCCTTGTACGCGGATTGTTTTCCGTCCTTGGAGGATGATGCCTTTGGACTCGGTGGTTCTGGAGATTGTGCCTGTGCAGTCATCACCGGCGTCGAACACGACAGATGCTTTATATTTCTTCTGAAACGAATTCAAACACCTATTACACATCATTCTCAAAACAACTATACACTTTTATACATTATACTCACACAACTTGTAATCAATTCTATTTAGCTTTAAATAATTGAAATAATGACACTCTACATAAGCCTTTTCACATACCTTAATTACATCTTCGCACATAACAAATCCTTATTTTCTGCATCAGATATTAGATTTGTATGCTCAAACAACAAATGCTGTACAATCGTTTAAAACGGATTTCCCGTTTCATACGTATCTCCAACATGCACGCAAATTCCCAATTCAATTTCATCAAAAAAAGTATCGTCAAAAAACTTTGATATTTTCAACGTCATTTTCAAAAAAAAAATCAATCGAAATATGTAATCAATCAATTCAAGCGTCCTTAAATTTTATTTTGTCCGCTTTCTGTTTAAGCTAGACGGGAAAGTTCGTTCATAATTATTTGATTTGATTTGGCGAGCGGAAAGGATCAATTATCGTTTGTTTTTTTTCTTTTCTTATTACGTGCACATAATTTCCAATTGTAATCTCTTCCGTTTCTGTTTGTTCTTCGTTGGACAAACCTGCTTATCGAACTCTTGCGTAAGTGCGGAAACGGTCCTCGTCTGCAGTTATGCATTAAAATGTGCAATTAACGCAGCTTGGACAATAATAACAATATTCCCTCCACTTCGTTTACGCAACTTTCGAAAAAGACAAGTCGGCCGCGTTAAACGGAACCTCGTTTTTCACGCATCCGATTGGCTCAAAAGCTCTTCGATTCTCCGCCTACAAAAAATCGAATTCAAATCCGACCAATCGAGTTCATTTCTATTTTGTTTAATTGATTTTGTTTAATAATACTAGTCACGTGACCGATAAAACAATTCGTCGTCGCGACGCCATCATTAAAGCAAAAGAGCGAAAACAATCGCAGCAGCTTTGATTTTAATTAAATATCTCCCCCCAATTTCCAAACATATTTCGGCTTTGCATTCACTTATCGCTGTAATTCGCACGGCTATCACACACACGTTTTCCCCGTTGCATTTATCGTTCGCACACAACAATAATCGCGATAATCTGGCTGTTTGCTTTCGGATTCTCTTTTTTTTTATATATATATATTTTTCCCCCTGAATCTGCAATTATCGCGATGAGTGTTTTCGTCGTGGTCGACAGACAACACTCCGAACGTTGCATAACGGTTTCAGTTTATGCAATTCGATATATCGCATCGAATTAAATCAATTCCCAAATCCGATTAGCGAATATTAATTTGATAATTTCATCTATTTAAGCTGCTTTTAATTTAAGCCGCATTCCATAAATGACTTGATTTAAAAAATAAATAAAAACAAATTTCAGCCGAGGTTGCACGAAGCGAGCGTCGGGCGTCGTCCGAAGATTTAATTGTTATTAAGTTAAGTGCCAACCGCGCAATGTTGATAATCGAACACCGAATTAATTATTGTCAAGTTTGCAGGTGTGCGTCCGATGCGCCGAATTTCTTGCGTCGCGTCAAACCAAAACTGGGTGAGCGTCTTTTTCTTCTCTTGGTAAGTGTTTTTCTTTTAATTAATTCGTTTAATTAATAGTAAATAACGCGAATTTCCATTAACGAGTTATCATATCCAATATAACGTTACTTGCGAAACAGTTTATTTTCTTATACAATTTGTGCAATTCGAATTCGTACAAATGACAGTTTGTATTTGACAATTGATAAATGTCATTTTGGTTTTGTACTCGAATTGTAAATTTCTGTAAAGTATTCCAACTTTTAGATACGCATTATCAAAGGTTGTTACATATTTATTATTATTTTTTAATTGGCGCACGAAAATATTCGCGGTTGCATGCAGGCGAGCAAATATTTGCGTACCAATTCAAATGAAACTGAACTCGCATCGATAACGCGTTTGAATGCATACGACGATAAATGTTATAATATGTTACATTCTCCAAAAGTAAATAAAAGGAATCTAGATTGCTGGTAGCAAACAAATGTCTCACGTTGAACCACGCGATAAGACAATCTTGTAAAGTATTACTTGAATTTCCTGTCGAAAGAATTGGAAAACGCAATTTCGCTCGGGTGTTATCAATTGGTAGAAAGTCGAACGCAATTAAAGTTTTTTTTAATTTTAAATAATTAAGCTATATATTTCTCCATCGAAATTCAATTTACGTAACGTTAATTAAGTGGCGAAACGGTAAATTTAAACTACTTGTTTTAACGCAATTCAAATGGTACAAGTAACTATGAATATATGCATAACCTAAATTGATCGCATCTACTTGTCCAAGTCACCTGTACTTGATAAGTATCACGTCTGAAAAAAAAATAAACAACACGTATCTTGGTTACTGGTAGCAACATACTTGTTTCGTAGTAATCTTTCTGATAAGACGATGTAATAAAATATGCAAACTTCCTATTAGAAACGATAGAAACGATTATTTTTTTGAAGAAAGTCGTATGTACTTTACGCAAGTATTTCCGTTATGTAAGTGGCGAAACGATAGCGAAGCCAAAATAAAAATGCTATTTTTATAATTTCCGAAAAATTAATATTTAAATTAAGTAGGATGATGATTTTATGATTTCTCGTGGGTGAACTCCAAAGAGAACGAAATCTTTAAAAAAAAATATGCAGATAAATCAATTCACAATTGAGATTAGCTCATGCGTCGAAACGAGTTTGTTGTTGTGCAACGGCCACATTTCGAGCCTCGTCGATTAACTAATTTTCTCGTTGCCATGGATTTGTTTATTAATAATGATGTAATTGTTTAATGAGTGCGTTGCTCGGCAGCAACATCTGCAGCAGCAGCAAGCAATCATTCCACGGGCGATGATGCTCGGATTAACTAATCGAGTATTTTTAAATCGTTCCGCCATAGGTTGAACGGTGGTTGCTATGGTTACATTCAATAATTGCAATGTATTTGTTTACTCTTCGCTGCGCCGCGTTGCGTAATGCCGATACGAACGTTGATGATGATGATGATCGAGGTGAACGTTTCGAACATTGATTTTAATGTTTGTTTTTTCTTTTGCTCGGTTCCAGAAAGAAACAACACCAATAATAATAACAACAACAACAACAACAATGACAAAAAAAGGGTTCTCACTCTGACGAGTCCTCCGAGCAGTCGTCGAGCTCCGACGAGGAGGAATGGTACGAATATTCCAGAGAGACCATGATGATTGCGATGATTCCGGGCTGCGTTCTTCTGTTTCTCGGCTGAGTTTAGGAAATGCCTCTGCGATGGATCACTTCACAGGTGTTTAGTCACTGCGGTTTCTGCTAATTGGATGTGCAAGCACATGGAATCCGCGGAGAGATTGGCGCGTTGCTGCACGGCGGACTCGCGGCACATGACTGCCCAAACGAAAGTCTAAGTTGCTGCTGCTGTTGTTGCTTCTACTACTACTGCTGCTGCCGCTTCTGCCCAGACCCGGATGGAAATAGTTTGGTAAGTAAGTAAATGAGTGAACGAGCGAGCGATAGAGAGAGTAGGTCGGTCGGTAACTAAGTATTTAATTGTAAGCGGGTCCGGCGAGTTATGTTGTTACGTGTAGGATGTCGGCGCGGATGTGAATGAATGGGACCCCAGCGCTCGTATAAACGCGATACATTTTAATTTTCCTCGATAACGCGCGTTATCTGAGAGACCCGTAGATAAGTGCCACGAAGCGGCGGGAGCGATAGATCTACGCTGCCTTGCCTGCCCATGCACACTACTACTGTCTGCGTCTACATCTATAATCTATCCGATATCCCTCATCTACTAGACTAGCATGAAACTCGGATAATTAAGTTCGAATCGTATGACGTTATTTCCAAAATAATAAGGAGTTTGTTTCCGGATCTATTTTTAAACTTGGTCAATTAAAGAAAATGCAAATAACCAAACAAACGTATTGACGTAATAACTACTTTTACTTTTTAACTGATGCTTGTGGAAAACGATATATTTTTTTTTTAATTCGCAAAGGTCATTCTACTTTCATCGATATTTCTGCTATATAATAAAGCGATTGTTAATTTCGTTAGTCAGACTGTGCACAATTAGTAAAACTATTATAACTATCGATAAACAAATTTAACTAATCTAAATAATTAAAATTGTAGATAAGGGGAAACCCGTTCGTCGGTTAGCTAATTGCGGATTACGCAAATGGCAATTGATGATTTAACAGTCTCAAAAAAGGTCAATATTTCAAGTCCAATATCTATTATATATTTCTAGTATATAATAGATAATTTGAATGTAAATCGACATTGAAATAGAGAATGAATCGAGCGATTTTCAACTAACCGTGAGTGTAGGACTCATTTTTCGCTGATTCATGAATAGAAATAATGCACAATGCCCTTTAAAATCGTTTTATTATCACGATTGCTATTTAGTCTGATTCGTTACAATATGTTCTAATTGAATTAATACTAATTCTATATTTTTTTTCAGGTCATCAATGCAATCGCTGCCTTTTCACCTTAATCGACTGGATGTGAAAGGAAACCCGAAAAGTGAGTAAACGCGATCCTAAAGCAGAATTCCTAAAGTTAGGAACATACAATTTTTGTTCAAAGCGCTCACGTCTAGAAAATACTAGATATCAAATTATCTATGCAACTCAATTAGCTCTGTCGTACTTTGGAATAGTGGGGCTCCAGGTGATATTTTTATCTTTCCATCCATTCCCTGTTGGATTTGCCATGTTTTAGATTCTTACTAATATTATGATTGCGTGCTGCGCAAACTAATGAGCTACACCCTACACCACTACACAAGACATACTTGACATTGTTTTTCATAATTATTTCGAGGGATATTTTTGGAATATCATACAATGCCATGCTATATACGTCTTAATTTAGTCTTGCATCGAGTGATGATTTTGTTTTCCAACTACATTCTTAATCAAATATTCAAATCCTATGTTAATTATCTGTAAGCCTTTGAGCAAAGAAAGATAATTTCTTGAGACGGAAATCTCATCCAAATCTGTTTTCGTTGCTTTTTTTTCTTTCTTCTCTTGCACATGGTACCGCAATTCCTCTGTTTCTGCGAATGTTTGTTTGTCTTAAAAATCCGTCTGACTGGCAGATGTTTTGCATTCCCAATTCATCATTGTGTGAATTCAATTCAATTCATAATCTCAATTTTGATTTCTCCTCCTGCATAAATCTCTAAAGTTGAGTTCTATGTAATAGTTGCAAAAAAGAGCGATATTTAAAACAAGTGCCACTTGATTAACCCAATTAGAGCCTCCTTACTTTCTGTAGAATTGCTTTTTTTTTATTTCGCAAAGTAGAAATATTTTTTTAATACTAATAATTTATATAATTACATAGTATTATTAAATTAGGTTTTTTGAAATAACTGAAACAACTATTGAAAATTTTCGACCCTATTTGGGTTAAGCAATGCCTGTTTTTTGATATAGTTGTTACCTTTTGTTTGATGGCATGATGCAAGAAGCAAGGAGCCTCTTCAGATTCATGAAAGCAGCCAGCAGCTCCGAAGACGGCCTTTACTTTCCTCGTTAAAGCATAACGTCTTTTCGTTTTGCTCTCGTTCTTTAATTCTTTTTATCTTTTTCTTTATTCAGAGGACGGACCGACGACACGCAACTCCGCGATGATGATGATCTGTTTCGCACATGATCGATGTACACATACTGGAAACGCCGTCGATGCAAAACACATTTCGTGCTTCCTTTTTATTATTACTGTATTTCGCTTCGTTCTTTTCTCGCTTTCCTTTTCTTTCTATTACTTTTTTTTTGTTGTTGTTGTTGTAAATGTTTTTCTTCGGTAATTTCGCAATTTTATTTCCCCCCTGTTCAAAGATCCGCGGACGTCGCAATTGCAATTAAAATAACGTGATACCGGTTTCGTTTCCACAAACTAATACTTGTTTTTCAACTTGCCGTAATATATATATTTTTTTTGTTTGCGATGTAATTCGTTTTATTTTTTTTTGCGATTTGCCATTATGTGTTTGTGTACGTCCACCAAGTGATTCTCTGCGTAATTATTTATAGATTTATAAAGCGGTGAACATAAATTGTCAATTAGAGGCAGGTGGAATTTCATGGAAACAAATTAGAATTGATAAGTTACTAAATAAATTAACGTTGAATCCGCGTTACTGGCAACGATCGGAAATTTGGTGTATGTAATGTTGATAGATGGCATCTCCATCGCAGTTAATAACGTCTTTTTCAATATGCAGTAAAATCTCAATTTTTATTGTGTCGTTTCAATAATTAAGTTCGTCGTCCCACGTGTTGCTAAGCAATAAAAAACAAAACTAGTTTCGTTTATGTTAACTATGTTGGTCGTTATGTAATTATATATATAGTGTGTCGAATCAAGAAGTGTCGATAAAAGTTCTGAAACTTTGAAAAAAGGAAAATTTTAAATTAGATTTCCACATAATATGTGAAAATTAAGTTTAGTTACATGATTTGCGGATAGAAACAAAACAAACATTGTTCATATTAATCAAGTAATTGATTGATTTATAAATAATAACAATAACGCGGTATCCTGATACGTACATTGGGTTGCATAATGATCGAATGAGTAATTATTCGAACTTTGCTGTGTATAAACAAAAAAAAAACGGGGATAACAATAGGAAATCGAGATAATAATTACAATAAATTACTGCTTTATATTCTATTTATAATAATATAAATCATCGTGTGCAACAATAAACGGGTCGTAATGTTTCTTTCCCTTTTTATGTAATATTTCATTTGTTCGCAAGCAATAATTACGTAAGTTAATGCAAAGTTGAAAATACCGGTTTCGAAAAGAAAAAAAAATATGCAAAGAGTGCGAAGAGACTACCGTTGTTTCTTGTAATTGCGCTCCGTTTCAATTCGATTGAAGGAAATTTTAATTAACTAAAAAATTTCAATTCCCAAACTGATTACGAAAATTATCCGTAATTATTTTTCACCGATTGATCGAGTCCCACCACCACCACTTGTTTTCTGCTCCTTTCTTCCATTCCTTTCTTTCATTCCGTAATTCCTGCCTGTCGTTGTTTTAATTATTATTTTCGTAAAGTTGGCATCCTTGGGAACGCGACCTACTTGGATTTATTTCTGTTCGCTTACAGGATTTCCCCATCGACGTTGCGCTATTCAATTTAACGCGAATTTCGCGATTAATCTTCCCTTTAGCTTTGATCGAACATATTTTCCGACAGTTTACTTTTGTTTAATACGTCTGTTGTTTGTTGATTTCGGATAATATCCGAACAAAACATGCGCAGATCTAGTAATTATAGTTACATTACAATTATATTTCTAAATTTATAATTTTTAACACATAGTTATTGAAGTCGGTATTTCGTTTAATATTCATTGTGAAACGCCAGCAACGCGTTTCTGAGCTGACTTAATGTAAAAACAAGGAATAATTATTTCTAACTTCGTCGTTTATTGCATAATTGCGTAATGATTATTCACAGCTTATTTTACATTTATTGCTTACTCATATTTTTTGCATTTGCGGATTAAAAAGCAAAATATTAAGATAACTTTTTTGCTTTGAGTTGTAAATTACTTCATTTTCGTCATTTATATAATTAGTTTGTTCATCTTTGATATGAAGCTTGTAATGTCTTCTATGTAAACTTGATGTAGTTAACGTAAATTATCAAGTAATTTGTACAAGCAGTTGGCAAATGTTGCGTGTTGGAATTACGTTGGTTCTGCTGTCTTATTTTGATTGAGTAGCGTTTATTCATCGGGTTTACCGATGAGAATGGCTTTCCGTATTCGTGTCTTTTGTCTGCTTTTTGATGATTATCCGCATTGCGTGGATTCTTAACTTACTTGCTGTCGTATTTGGTGAATATGTTGTGGCTGGGACTGCGTGGCAGACTGCAGGGCGGCGATATCCCCGATTGGGAGTCGGACAGCGCCCCCGGCGACGAGCAGAGTATTCCTTGGGGTGTGCTCGGTGCAGAACGCGCCCCCGCGCTCCCAAAGTTACCCGATGACCTGAAACATAAACGCAAACAATACGCGTTATATTAGTTAGCTCTCGCAAAAGTCAAACATTGCAGCAGAAGATCAACTCGAAAAGCCGATCGATTCGGTTCGGTTCTCCTCTCCACACATGGTCACGGACAGAGAGGTCCGGTCCTGTCCTCTCCGACCATCTATTATTCATTGCGCAATTACAGCCGCCGTGAGAATTCGCGCAAACGTTCCTCGAATAATTCATATCGGCGAGAGAAAGAAGGAGGAGGAGAGAATTGTCTTTTGCCTTTTCATTATTTCTCTTCATCACTCTCCTCCCCTCCTCTCTATATCTTTCTCTCACACGCTCGCAAATGTACAATTTGTCTCTTTGTTTTCCAAATCCGGGACCGCTCGAATAACAATGAAAACAAGAAAAGAGAGAAATAACGTTTTGTCGCCATAATCAAACTGTAAATATCGTTCAATTATTCATGCATGAAGGAGGCGGCAGGTGGGTGGGGGCGTACGTCTTTCGCCCGATTATATAATAGGCCAATGTCACTGTCGGCGTTCAGCGAGATGGAAAAATATAAGAGGCGTAAGAATTGCAAGAACCGCTTGGATTTATTCTCTTTATTTTACCGAGCCGCTAAAAGTTATTACCCTGACTGAGAGCGTGTTTCGCTCTCGCACTGTTACGTAACAAATGATATAAACCGTTTGGTCAAGTGTGCCGTGTCCGATAAACGTTCGTTATTCGCGAACTCGAAACGAGAAGAAATATCAACTACATAAATAATGCACACGCCCATTGCATTTTTCTCGCATTTACCCTTAATTTCAATGCGCTACATTTACTTGAATCTGTAATAAAGTTAGCTTGAAAACTGCACAACTATTTCAATTTAAATTAAACTAGATTTTAGACAAATGCATACTGTCGGGTCATATTTAATTTTCTTAAAAAATTAGTTGAATTTCTTGGTCGTAAAACTAAGCATGATTATTCCCCCAATTAGATCTTAATTAATTGTAATTATTAGTAGCTTTGGGAGGTATCTAACATAGCTGGTGCATTTGAAAGTTATCCGTTGAAATTATATGAATTAATGTAATAAATGCGCGACGATTCGAATCGAGTGAAGAAATAGAGTGTAGGAGTTGAAAGTCATTTAGGAAGTTCATTGTTTTGTGGAGGACGGATTAATTGATGCGCATTGTGCGTGCGGTTCGAGAGTTCGAAAGGACGGTCATTGAATCGCAGCAGTCCGACGAAGATCGAAATCCTGACATACTCTCGAAATGCAATTGCATAAATTGCGGTGGCTCACTACTTTCCGTTCCCGGAGTCGCCGCTACCGCAATCATCATTATCATCATCATAATCATCATGATGATGATCGTGTCCATTTCGTTTATTTATTTACCGTTGCCTAAACTCCGTTTTCTCAATAATAGCAACAGTCCGTTTCCATTCTTTACCGTAACGCGTTCTACGCACCGTAACATTATTATTATTGTTGTTGTTGTTGTTGTTGTTGTAGTAACACCACAGTCGAACAAAGTTATTAATTAATGGAATGTTATTTTTCATCCGAACGCAACGCAATTGAACATAGAACGGTAGAATATCTACGTTGTTGTCATGGTTATAAATCTAGTATTGACAACGGTAACTGTGCCACTTTGTTTTTTGGTTTTCGAGGAACAGGTGGCAATTATCAAAGCGGGTCGCGAAATTCGGCGAATTTTAGAAATTCCTATTCGGAATTGGAAATTCGGCGAAAGCTGCTGCTGTTCACTCTAGAAAGTGTCGGACGGCAAATGGCATTATTATTTTTTTTATTTTTCTATTACTTCCACTATCTTCTTTTTGGTTTCAAACATTAACAACACGTTAGATATCTCCATAGTTACCAAATCTATGTTTTATTTATTGCCATAGTAACAAGATTTTAAGTCTTATATTCAATTTCGTGAATTATTATTGGGTCGCACCAAGCAGCGTAATTAGTATTTCGTTCGACGCGCACTCGATCGTTCGTCTGGATGCGATAGATCAGGAGTGATTCATGCCATTATCGTTTCATTTATTAATTATTATTAGTCCGTAGACCCGATTTACTTTACATAGCGCAAAGTTCAAACGACTTTTATCCCCCCGGCTATAAATGAACGAATTATTACGCAAACACGAGCAGTTTTCTAACTGTTCTTTGCTCTTTCTACTAATACCTTGAAATGGAAACTGTTCTTTTACTTGTTGCAAGTACCAATTTCAAGAATTGCATATCTGTTTTTGTTATGAGTTTGTATTGATTTAAGCTGTGTCAAGACTTAATTTAATTTTCAACATTTTGTTTGTCGGCCCTTTGGATTTGGGGCTCCGAAAGAATACATCCAAAGTACATCCTGCTTGTCGTAAAAGGCGACTAAAAGGATAAGTAAACCGTTCGTTGCTGTATTTGATAACGCTAAAATGATGCAATTTTTGAAAAGTGTCCATCTAAATCAGTTCTAACTAAATGTCGGTTATCATTATTATCGTCCGATCGATCGAGATATGAATGTTGTTTTGTTTTGATGTTTTTTTTTGCTAGGAAAACATCGCTTCTAAAGTGCTCAAGTGCGTAATCGAGATGAATCAGCGTAGAAAACCCTTGAAAGATCTCTAATCTGAGCACTTTCTGGTGGAATCTCCTCGCGTTCGGAAAGCGCTCTATGTTTAGATTGTGAAATTTAGGCCGTGCCGAACGGCCGTTTCGTGCGATCGCGGCGAATTTTTTAACGACTCATTAAAACAATCTAACACACCGATTGCCGAGCCAAGTTGTGCAATTGTGCACATACACACACACCAATAAACATTCGATCCTCCCGTCGTTTCATCTAATCCCGCGCCGAAGAATAGAAGAGACACGTTTATTTACTCACTCTGTTTCACTATTGTTTAACGTCGCGGTATCCGTTTGCCAACTGCCGCTTCCAGCATTGTTGTTATTCTTAAGATCACACGGACATAAAGAGAGCATATAAGTGGAGGAGGTCCGAACTGAAAACCGATAATCCTTGTTTTGAAAGCGTCCTGTTTTTCGCCTCATTCCCTCATTCTGGCCGCGCGCCAAAACTTCCCGACCAAATTACTCTCGCTATATTATGAAATATCGCGTATTTATGAAATCTCTTCGGTACTAGCTCGAATCAATCAGATGCGTAGCAGCAATTCGATGGATATCGCTCGGTTTATTTATGCGACCTCTGCAGCTATTTTTCGCTGCGTTTTTTTTATCCCGTAACTTATATATCCGAGAACTTAAACAACGGCTTCCTGGAAGACGAGCGCAATATTTGTTATGAAGAGATCGCGCAGCTTCTTCGAATATTATTAATTTTAATGGTCACGTCATAATATTTTGACAAAACTTATTCAACGTAAAACATCCAAGCTAAAAATCGTATCTTCATATTTGGGAAATCTCAATGAGTATTTACAAAGAAGTGATTCGCGTTTTCACGGAATCATCGCTGTTTCACAATTTATTCTGAAAAGATTGTCTTTCTGAAAATTGCAAATTTAGATCACAAAGAATTATAGTTTCAGTTTCTTGTAATTTCTCCAATTTATTTCCATTGACAAACCTTATGTTGTGTTATTGAAAAAAAGTGAATGTAAATAAATGGAGATAAATGCGTCGAGATGCAAATGACTATTACGTAAAAGATAATTGCGATTTTCGTAACGTCGTGCGAGAACCGAATTACGCAATGTTTTCTACAGTATTCTCAATTGCTGCTTCGGTTATTTATTATGTTTATTATTATTATGTTTTATGTTTTTCTATACAAATCTGGATGGTGTTTTTCATCTTTCAATATCTGAACTGTATAGAGAAAAAAAATAGGACAAAATTTCAAATGAAGATGATCTTATTAATTATGTCAGTTGGCTGTGTTTCCAGTTTTAAAGTCGAATTTGTAGCGTTCGGTATTCATTCATCAGTCATCACTAATTGGTGCTGTTAGGTGTCAGAGCTTCGGACGATTTCCAAGTAATCTTAAACCAAGAAGTTTATGTTTCTATTATTTATAGAAGTTTATTCTTGCTTGGATCATTATTTTGACGTTTGACAGTTCACTATTCAAACAATGACAGTTCAAACGTCATATAAATGTCAAATAATATTGACAGTTTGAACACGTCAAATAATAGGAGGTGGAAAAAAATGCGTCAAATTGAAATGTATTGTTTCCATCTTTATATTATTCGTTTCTCGTTCGGTTTTGTTCCCGCGATGCGGAAAGAAGGCTAAAATTAAGTATCGAAATGTTTATTCGGATCCGTTTCATCTGTGCACACGGAATGCACAGAGTTCAAACGTTCAAACAATGAAAACATGGATACGTGTGTCTGCCAAAAAAATTGGCCGCCAACGTTCTCACGGTTCGCGCACACGTCTCTGTTTATGATACAAGCATTTCCATTCAACAAAATTTCCCCGCAATATTATTTTCCGAAGTGAAAATAAACCGAATGTAACAATAATAATAGAGCGTTATTTTTGCAATTTTGTTGCATTCTATTTGAAAACGTACCATTTAATTTAAATAGAAAACGTAGGAAAAGAATGTTTTTGATTTTGTAAATTTAAAAAAAAAAACAAAGTAGGACATAGATGCTAATGACGCGACATCTGCTTTATCTACTTAATAATGCATGACTGCTTTTTCAAACTAGTTTGTGGAGAAAGAAAATCTTTGCGCGTAACAACAATGCGAAATAATTGATTCACGTTTCTCTCTCTCTCATTCTGTGAGGTAACTAAATGTTAATTGCATCTGCGGAATTAGTTTCATAATGATGATGATCCATGTGAACCGAATGTTTTCCGTACATGGGTTACGCAACGCGTTGCGGACGGAAATCAATCGGTTTCGTTCTTGAAAAATGACCAGCACAAGTAAACGAGCGTTAAAAAGTGGAATGGATTTACGTTTCCACATAGCCTTGCCATTAATAATTCAATGTCGTACACTCA